ACTGGTTCCAGCAAGAGGCTAGAATCTCTAAAAATCTCACTGTCTTTTTTTTGGAATCTGTGTTTTATATTTCTTTTTAGAGTTGATATGTAACTCTTTTTCAGGTCTTACAATTCATTTTCAATGTTTTCAGAATAGTTTTCTCCATTCATAAAAGCACTAGTTTTTCCTTCTTCTTCTCTAAGTTCTATGCAGTCTCTCATGCTCTTTACAACAGTTCCATCTCCTGATTCTATAAAATTTAATTTAGCTGTTGTTGCTTCCATCAATGGCTGTATTTCACTAAATACCAAATTTTGTTTTTGTAACTGCTCACTAAGCATTGCAAGAACATCATGAATGTCTAACATAAATGACACTAGCATCATTGTCTTATATTCTGAAAAGTATTTGTGCAAACCATGGCAGTAGCATTTTTCTCTTCTGCAAAGTTTGAAAGAGTAACCAGGACTGAGTTATAACTCTCATACACAGCTTCAACAGCATTTTTGAGCCCAAGCGATCTTATGCTATGTGGTTCTTTTATTGTAAGTTGAGGCTCACTTAACAGTTTTTGAGTACTGTTGAGTTTTGTAGTACGTTACTTGACCCACTCATGAAATAATACAAAGAGTTAAAATTATCTCAAAATGTCTTGAGAGTGTCCAACTTTTCAGTTGGATTTGTCACAGCTAAGTTTAAGCAATGGACAATACAATGGATTTATACTAAAAAGGAGAGTACTTTGATTTCATCTGCACACCAATACCTGTCTTATTACCTATCATTGTTGATACACCATCTATTGCTAGAGAAACAATCTTAGCTGGGTCAAGCCCGAGGTTAGTGAGACACTTTATCAGATGACTGACAATTGTGTGAGCTTTTTCATCTTCAATGGCTACATTTGTTAAGAACTTTGTTACTGCTTCACCATTCTTCACATACCGTATACATACTGATGAATGTTTCTGTATTGATAAATCTGTGCTTTCAACTATCATTATTGCATGTGTCTTGGACTGAAGAATTGATATTTGCTCCGTTCAGATTCTGTAACTCAAGTAAAATGTTGAATTTATCAGATTGCAACTCCTCTTTTGATACATAAAAGATTGTACAAAACAATTTACTGTCATCATCTGATACAGAGATTGAATTACCTTCCTTGTCAACATCACTGTCATACATTTTACTCTTGTCCCCAGATTCCTTCAGTAAACCTTTCTTGGCCTGCTGGTGTTCTAAAGACAGCCCATGCCTCTCAGTACTATTCTTCTGAATATTAGGTGATTCCTCATCTGCCCATATGCTTCTCATATTTCTTTCTATGCAGATGCTGCACTTCAGTCTCTTATCTACACATTCACCAACTACCACTAACCATGAACATTTTTCTTCCAAGACTTGAATTGTCTTTTCAGATATGGTAGTTCCAAAGTGTTTCTTTGCTGTTTGATGGCCAAGTTCAGTGCAGGAAATGATGAGATCATCATCAATTTTGCAAATGATCTTTGCACTGTCTTCAGTTTTATCATCTCGAATGAAATATTTGTACAGCAAGCTCGTATTTGTCGCGTAATTCTTCTTAAATCTTCCTGGTCACACACTAAACTGTTGAGGAGATGACATTTTTGTCATCCATGTATCGTGAGCTCTTGATAAAGTCAATAAAAATCAATAAGCTTTTGCCTACTCGGATTGCATCAGAATGACTGGTCCCGCTAAAATTGAGAAAACGTGTCATATTTACCTGGATTGCAGGAAACCAGCCTTGTGTGCTGGATTAGCTTACATAAATTTATGCCAGATGAAGCCAGAGAATCTGTATCCGCCAATTTTCAAAGAATGTTTGTCAATAAAAATCAATAAGCTTTTGCCTACTCGGATTGCATCAGAATGACTGGTCCCGCTAAAATTGAGAAAACGTGTCATATTTACCTGGATTGCAGGAAACCAGCCTTGTGTGCTGGATTAGCTTACATAAATTTATGCCAGATGAAGCCAGAGAATCTGTATCAGCCAATTTTCAAAGAATGTTTGTACGCCTAGATTTGATTTTTAATATGTGAATACTCTGTACGCATCCTCATATAGAGTTCTGACATGTGACAGATGTCAACGAACATGCTCTTCTCGAATTGGGTTATTCAGACACACGCGGAAATATCAACATGAGTGAAACTATTTTACAGGTGCAAATATCTATTGTCTTATAAGACAGAAAGATGCCGACCTACTTGTGTTGCCAGGTCTCCCTGTTTTTTAATACTTTAAGGACTTTAAATATATGGTAACCATGATTTGCTTTCACTAAACCAAAACAATTTTTCTACAAAAATAATTTATCTATTACTGCCATATATAGTTTTGCCTTTAAAGACATTGTCAGTTACTGAAATATCTGTGTTTTCCTTAATTCTGTAATTTGGAAAAGTGTTGACAGATTCAGGTATTAATCTTATAATTATATTTATTCATGATAGGCTGCAATCAGCAGTGAGGCTTGCCAACACTAAATGTAGATGTAAAGTTTGGGTTGCAGCATCTGTATTCTGAGCAGACATTCAATAGCCTAAACTAATGGTTCCCAAACTTTTTTCCTTAACAACACCCTAATCCACTTACTATGATTTGCGTGACACCATTACTGCCACATGCACTTTTTTTGTAGTTTTTTTTTCATGTTCTTAATTATTCTTCATTTGATGAAACTCTTGGGACACCTCTAGTAACTTGCCGTGACACACAGTTTGGAAACCACTGTGTAATGAG